TGACCCAAAAAGATATATATTTTATATAGAAGAAAAGTGATATGTTGACTTGCTGAAGAGTACGTGCACATACATTCAAGATACCAAAATAAGTTGTTTAAAAGTAACTCAAAGATTAAGATTGTTCTGTATAAACAAAATAAAGAGGGATCCATTCCAAGTATATATAGAAAATATATATTAACTCAATTTTTCCTCTAGATAGCATACAAGTCATTTAGTTTCAACATTAAGGATATGTTAGTTTAATATTTGATCTTGGTAGCTGTCATTCATTTTGATTTTTCACTTTTAAGTATTTTTTTAATAAAAATATATAACTTTCTCTTACTGAGTCAGTTATTCTTATAGACGTAAAATAATATTTTCAATCACAACTTCATCATGATGTGTTGAAATATTTTAACTAACCACTTTTGGTACTTTGAGTATGTTAATTAATTAATTAATTAATTTTCTTCTCGACTTTGTTGCATTAATTCAGATTTTTATAAGTCAATTAATTAAAGTTTTTATAAAATTTAAAAATTAATATTTTATTTACATTTATTCAAATTGATGTATATTCATAAAAAAAATATTATACATCAATTTGAATCTATATAACAGTTTATCAAATAGTTTTGCAATTTTGTAAAAAATTGTAAACTTAACATATTTATTAAGATATTTTAATTTAACGATTAAATCATTAAAGTTTACTAGAGATTGGGTTATTAAATGAAATAACTCTATCGATACTTAGTCTATACTGGATTATTGAGTGAAGTAACTCTACCAATACTTAATTAGTCTTAAAATAAATAAATTCCTCACTATTTTTTTATAACAATTAAAAAGTTAGATTTAATCAAAAAACAAATAATAAACATTTCACTCTATTTTATTCATAACAAAATTATTTATTTATTTTAATCCTTTCATATTATGAAAGAATTATTTTAGCTTGACTTAAATATGTTTTTAATTCTTTAGATTTAGGATAAATTTTTTTTTTGGTCTTTCAAATGTAAAACTATCATTTTTAATTCAAGACAAAAATGTGATGTTTTTACTAATATGGACATTAGTAGATAGAATTTATGCAATAATATTTGATAAATCTTCTAACAAAACTTGAGTATAAGAACTAAAATATTTTTTAAAAAAATTACATCGACTAAAAAAAATTAATTTTAAATTTAAGAAATTAAAAACAAATTTACCTTTAATTTATAACTAAAAACATATTTTTAAGCCTTTTAACTTTTATAAAAACTACAAAGAAATAGACAAACAACTCTTCTCTCCACCCCCTCCCCCAATTTTCTCACTTGAAGCTTTTTTTTTGTCTCAGAAATTATCTCCCTCTTCCGTGTTTCCCACACCTTTGCCTCTATTTTTACACCAATTTAAACATTCTGTAAGAATCATATACATGAATACAGATTTAGTTTCTCACTCGTTTGGAAGAAATTAACATAGCAAGATCTTATATATATATATATATATATATATATATATATATATGAGGAGGTCTCAAAAGATACGGG